ATTCTTTTTTACACATAATACTCTTTGTCCTTGTTTTTCTGTTTCTTGTGGCCACTCTTTGAGCTCTGCTGCTTCTCCTTCACGATCGTGCCGTTGCTCTGGGCTGAGTTGCTGATGTAGTTCCGCGTCTCGTCCACCTGATAGGACCCCTCGTCCCTGTTCCTGTACTTGTACATGGCATACAGGAGGATGAGGATGCAGAGGGCGGCAGCAGCCACTATGCCGACGACCATCCCCGTTGTGCTGCTCGACTCACGGACCACCTCTGAGGCCCCCGGAACCCGTCTGATTCCTGGCTCCGTGGGGTTTGCTGTGGGCACATTACGGAACATGGGGGAAGTGATTAGCGGGCTCTTCAGCTTTGTGCTGTCTAGCTCATAGGCAGTGGGCAACGGAAGCAAGACTATGTCAGGCTGGGGTTTGAGCTCACGGTTATTCATTTTGCCGGCTGGCAATTTGGGCACCATCCCAGTCGAGGACGAAGCTGTGGAGCGGATCAGCTCAGGGGACAAAGACGTGGTAGTAGTCCTACCAGTTTCGGAGACTTTGTTAGGTCTAAAGTCCTTGGATTCCCACTTGGGTGCGTGTGCTTTGTAGCCACCTTCGAAGATTGAAGTGGAAAGACTCTTATCTGTTACCAAGGAGAAGGTGGTGTAAAAATCTTCATCATCAGTAGGGGGTAGGTTAGAGTCAAAGGTTTCCCCTGAGCCATACCCAGATATCACCAAGCCATCATCATCACAACCATCGCTGCCTTGGTCCGACAAGCAAGGTAACCCCGCCTCAGAGGTCATGGACAGGGAATCTTTGGTGGTCTCAACAATGGTGAGGAGGGGGCGAAAGGTAGGGGGAAGTGTAATGAAAGGTGCACGAGTAGCAATAGGAGGGATATCTAAAGGGTCTTCTACAAGTAGAGGGATAACTAATTCACCTCCTGGGATGGAAAAGAGAAAAAAAAGTAGATTAATACATTTTAATGACAAAATGCACCATTTTCAAATAACTTAATTCAAGGGCGAGAGAGGATTTGGTCACTAAGGGATCTGGTTTTTTTGCCCTAACTACACTACTGACATACTTTCCTGGGGATGCGCTTCATTCTTCCCTCCCACCCTGCCTTTACATTGGTAAACTGCATGTTCCATTTCCTCCCTTTTTTAGCCTATGCCACATATGTACAGTGAAATACTCTGAATTTCTTGGGACCCAAAGTTTTTGATTTTTGAAGATACTCTCAAGTGACTCTGGGAACATTAATATTTAGTAGTGATCTTTCTTAAGCATTTGGTTACAAGACTGTTTAAATGAATCATATTAGACTTCCATAGAGCAATGTTCTCCTAGATGGTTTTTACCACTCATCTTGACAGTTTTTCTTCTCTGATTTCTTACAATAACATTGGTATTTCTTCTCTGCCATCCAAGTCTGCTCACCTTCTGTAGCATTTTACAAGGCCCTTCCCTAAGGCCCTTCCCATTCATCCATTTCTTCTTAATCATTTCCTTGCTTTTGAATTGTGGGAAATTTCATGCAAGAGAAGGATGGAATAAGAACCAAGTACTTACTGGGGTCCATGAAGGTACAGATCTCTACCCAATGCTTGTTCATCTCTTTTTAATCTTTCTTTACCATTCTGTTCAACATTAGGGAAGTCACTTTCCTTAGATCTTTTGGGGCCACTAATGCCATACTATCTTCATCTTCAGTTCTTCTTGATATTCTTCTACTATAATTTGATTGAAAATTGAGATATACTTCATTGTGATTGATGATATAACTGAATAAGGACTTGACCCAAATTAGCACTTTCCAGGAGGGTACAGAAGAAGTTGTCTTCACACCTACTGTTATTTCTTGATATGCAGATAGCTGGGATCCATGCTACTTTTTCCTAAAATGATGGCTATCTGCCTACAGAGGACTGAAAATGAAGTGGACTTACGGACTACTCTTGAAGAAGAATAACAAAGCTATAGCTGTAACATTTAAAACTTACCACAGTATAAGCTGCAACTGAAACCACAAAATCAGTGCATCGTCTCTAAGATTTGGTTTCTGAGAAGCAATATTTCTGCTTTTTGGGTAGTAGTTCTGTTTTGTCTACATATTGTAATATGACTGTACTTCTACTTTTGGTCTTAAGCGTAATTAACACTTCACTGTTTTGTTCAGACGTGGAGGCATAATTAATTTACCTAATTAATTTAGTTCAGATTAAACAGTTGTCTGCTGACATACAGGTGGCCAACACTTTTTTAGAGTGAGTCATATTGCTTTTGAAAGTTTGTGCATAAATTCTCCCTTGTAGTTTTTCTTTGGCTAGCCACTTAAGTTAGCTGCTTTAAATATAAACTGTAGAGTTCATCTGACACCATGAGTAGTCATCCTGGTTTGTTGGAAAGAGCGCAACTCAGTAAGAAGTATTTGTAGTGCATGGGAAATTTTTATTTATACTCACCATTGCTTAAGGAAAAATATGCAAATGGTATTTTAGCTTCTAAAGAAATAGTTCTGGGTTTTACTTATGTATTAATAACCGCTAATGAACAGTTTGGTATTGTTAAAACGCTGAATGGCACCAGGGTCAAAATTTTGCTCTCTCCTATGTACACTATGCATTGCTTGCACTGTTTTCCACTAAATACTGCCAGTAATGTCCATGGGAGTTCTATAAAGAATATGGTCTAAAATCATAATCCCTTCTAAATATATTTGGAGAGTAATATATTTGAACAAATTACATATTGAATATAGCAATATACTGAAAAAGATACTTTTCAGTTTGATTAAATCTGGATAGCTGAACTAGCACTATGGCTTATACTTATCCTTAATGAGAAACTAAGTGGTGACACAATTTAATCAACTGAAACAGTCAGATTTATCTCAGTGGTACCAGGGTAGAAATTAGGGCAAAATAAGAATGTGGTACTTCGCATGCTTTCACGCAAAGCTAGTTTTAAGCTAAGACATAAAGTGCCGATTTGAATATGCTGTTTAGTTTTCCAAGCTTCCTCAGCATGTTCATACCACTTTCATTACTAGAGGATGAAGAAATAACTATCATATGTGTAAAATAGTGCCAATCTCTTAAAACTAAGTATCTTACCAAAACAAAAAAAAAAAAAAAAAGTGAAAAGCAGAAAGTGTAGTCTGTCAAATGGCTATATGGCATTTTGTGCTTATGCCTCTGAACTCCTTTCTGTTTAATGTAGAAACTAGAGCATGTAATATGATTTATGCATAACCAAAAACCCTATCTATAGCTAGAGCAGGGCATCTATAATCTATGCAAACAGGTGCTCTCAGGATAAACTTGGAGTATGCCTTAGAGGGAAAGATAATCTGTTAGTTTGGTTAAAAATGAATAAAAATAATAACATGTAAGTGCATTACATCAAATTGCATGAGTGGGGAATTTAAGTGACAGAAAGTCAGGGATAGATGCTGTCCCTTTAATGATTTTTTAAGATCGATGTTTTGCTGCTAAAAAGTAGTATTCACCTGTAATTTTCATTCACCATCTGTGACACCCAATTAGAAAAAAATCAGTTTGGCAGCCTTTAATTGTTCATCTAGAGCTTTGAAGTGCCTTTGTTCTTAAAATCGATTATACTGGCATGCAGCATCATTATGCAGTTGATCTGCCACCCAGTGGGGCAATATTTGGGGCAGTTTTCATCCAAAAAGAAATTCTTTTGGGCATATAAAGAATTGATTTTCTTGAAGGAATCAGAAGTATTTTATATTTAATATAAAGATCTTTCTTTTGCCCTGGTAATTCTTGCCTTTAAAACTAGGTCATAGTTGTACAGTTTCTGTTACTGGTGAGGACTTAAGCCAGTGATCAAGACTACTACAACTATAAAAATTGTCATGGTCTTCCTGAAATGTAACAAAAGTTGATACAGTTGCTATGGTAAGTGGGGTTTCACATAAGTGATGGACAGGGGGTTGGATGCTTTTTGATTCCAGCAAGCCTGTTGGATGGAAGACAATAGGACAGAATCAAGATTGAGTTTTACAATGCTTTAATCTCACAATGCATGTGAGAAGAGAAATAACTTTCATACCTGGAAGACTGGATTAACTTTGATTTCCTATACAATTATTTAATCTCATCTCCAGTTTCATTCTAAATTGTCCAATGATCCATACTATGTTTACCTGTGTTACTAAAGAAATAGACTGTTAAAGGTGCTTCATTAGGAATAACTTCTCCATCAAGGTGTTAATATGTTACATTTAAGACAACATACTTTTGGGTAGTATCAGGGAGATGGATGTAGAGGTGGCAATTTTTTATTTTTCTTTTTGTCTGTAATGGAAAAAACTGTAAGACTGAAGAAAAAGCTGTAAGGTAACTCAGAAGCAACATTCTAGGTATCATATCTGGATTCTACTTCATAGGTATGTTAGGCATCTATTCAAAACTCACAGCAAACTAGAAGTTGTAGGTCTAATAGCATGCAGGCACAATGAATACTTCCTGGGGTATGTGATTTATAGGGTAATTAAAATATCCTTTAAAATGGCATGATAAAAATGCCACTCAGTCTAAATAAAGTGTGTTATTTAAGGATAACAGGGAACGTAAATTCCGAAAAGCTCCCAGGAAAGGGTGAGAAACATGATCACCAATATCTATGCAGGGGAGCAAGTGCAAACTTTCATATCATACCTGCAAACTCTTGTTATGAATACTACATTTCTACTCGCAAGAGACACAAGGGGGAGTCTGATGACAGGCAGGTGATAAATGTGTATTTAGGGGGAACCATCTTTCACAAAATGACAGGCATGACAGGAAGCTGCCTAGAGCCAGTGGCCTTTTGATGGAGAAGTGGTGCCTCTTGCTGAGGGCCAAGGTTTAAAGGTAAGCACTGGAAGATTTTAAAGACAAAGTACCAATCAGTTGCCAAAAATATCTCATGTGGGATTTGGATCCTGAAAGGTTCACTGTGGCATCAAGTGCTTTAAAGATTTGGATTTCTAGAAAAAGCTAAAGAGAAGCTCCTGAAAAACCTTACATGACAATTTGGAAGGGAAATACATTTGAAACAGATTTTATGTTTGTATTTTCCTACCTGAAGTTTTTATCTTCTCTCAGTGCCTACCATTTTTTCAATCGCAAAATTAACACTTTGCAGCCTTGAATAAAACTTACAGTTTTAATTTCCAAATCGTTCCGTGCTTAAAAAATAAAATGCAAAGGCTGCCACCCATTTTGGGCCATGGCTTCAAAACAAATATTCACATGAGACTTAGATTTTATTTATGGAAGATATGGACTGTTTCCTGGTAGTTACAGGTATCTTTCCCTCTTTTTTATGTTGGCTGTTAAACACCAGTTAACAGTGTTCACTGGTATGCTGCAAGTTCAGGCTTACTTTAGCAATCCAAAGATTTCACAAGGATTTTCCAGATTACTCTATGCTTTCTCTTCTAGGCAGGGAATAGATGATTCCCAAACAGAAATATGGTTTTTAAAAAGCTTCTGCTGACAACACAATGCCAAGGAATTAACCAAAAGGGAAACAGATAAAATGGCTTCCTCTGCAGTTGCAAAATCAGTTTGCCCATCAATGTATAGTTACAAAAAAATTACTGAACAGCAAAGTGGAAGCAGCACTCAGAGAACTGAGTTCTGTGAGGTGTGAAACCTTGTACAGAGCAGCCCAGTGTTCTGCTTGGCCTTCTCATTCCACAAAGCAAACACAGTACGCATATGTTCCTTAGAAGTTAGCCTGTAAATCTAGCACACATACTATTTTCAAGGAGTTGTGCTTTTCTATAAACTAAACAAGATCATTGGGGATATAAAAGGTCTACTGTAACCTTGGAGCTGCCCTGCTTTTTGCTTTATGAGCTTATTTATAGCTATATAAGTCATACCTCTGGGTCTGATCTCTGGTAAGAATTCTCTGTCACTA